CAACAGCAGTCTGTATCACTCAGTGTTGGACTTCATCTAGAAATTAAGATATCCATCAGATAAAGATTACCCTCTACTGTGCATTCTAACACCAGTGGGTCATGCCTTGGGGACTGACATAACTGGCACCAACCTGACGCCTCAGTAGATGCAAGCAAATTAATGCAAAACCACCTAGGTAGATTTCAATATAATGTGACTATCTGTATACTGATGCTTGTGTTAGTACAGCAGTGTTTTCCCTCCTCATTAAATACAAGATGTAGTGGATTTCAATATGCTAATTGGTACTACTCCTGAAATCTGTGTTAGCCTGTTTAACAGCCAGTCTACTTGTCAAGGAATTAAACCCAGATCCCTAAGATGCCATAGTAAAAAGTGGATAAATTTGGAGGTTTGGACCTGAGGACTTCAAAGCTTAGAGAATGTCTTGCAGTTGCTTTGAGATTCACTTTGGTATTTATGCTGGGATCCTGAATAATCAATCATTCCTTAATTATCTGGCTCAGTATAATCAGAGTCTATCATGTCTTAAAAGGATCACATATCAGTTGGAAATCATCTTGATTCATCATTTCCTGTGAAAACCTCCTTGTGCTCAGACTGCCCTGATAATTACTTGATCATTACTAGGGTAGAGCAAAAGGCAAAAAAATATCTGCGAGCTCAGTGAAGTCAGTTGGTTTGACAGAAAGGCATGACTGCTCTTTGGAGATGGGTAAGTGAATGCAAACAGCCTTGGGTGTCTCTGAAGTCAAAACAATGCAACTGTAAAATTCAGTGGTAATCAAATCAAAGATCAGAATTTAGAAGAATTTGGATAATCCTCTATTAAAACTTTACTATCAGCATTATATTATATATTATATATATAAAATATATATAAAATATATATATTATATATATATTATATATTATCAGCATTCCCTCAGTTCAAGAAGGACAGTGACCTGCTGGAGAGAGTCCAGCACAGGGCAACAAAGATGATTAAGGGAGTGGAGCATCTCCCTTATGAGGAAAGACTGAGGGAGCTGGGTCTCTATAGTTTGGAGAAGAGGAGACTGAGGGGTGACCTTATTAGTGTCTATAAATATATAAAGGGGGAGTGTCACGAGGATGGAGCCAGGCTCTACTCAGTGGCAAACAATGGTAGCACAAGGGGTAATGGGTACAAACTGGAACACAAGAGGTTCCACTTAAACTTGAGAAGAAACTTCTTCTCAGTGAGGGTGACGGAACACTGGAACAGGCTGCCCAGGGAGGTTGTGGAGCCTCCTTCCCTGGAGACATTCAAAGCCCGCCTGGACACATTCCTGTGTAACATTATCTAGGTGTTCCTGCTCCGGCAGGGGGATTGGACTAGATGATCTTTTGAGGTCCCTTCCAATCTCTGGCATACTGTGATTAGCTGCAGTTATGCGCTGTGCTTTAATGTGTTACAGAACTACAGTATTCATGCTGGATTAAACATATTTATAGTCATCTAATCTTAAGAGTGAAGAATTTTAGAGTGACTAGGACTTGGAGATTGGCCATCCTGGACAAAATTTGCACCCACTGAGAAGCTGAGGTCAAATACTTGAAGAATATGAGACTGCAGAAGCAGAAGGAAAAAGAGCATTCAAACATACTAATACACTAGAATCAAACATCAGTAAAATACTGCTACAGAGAGGAGTAAAACAGACAATTCCTGAGGATTTTCAAGTTATTCTGACAGGTTTTAATTCTAATATTTGTTGAGATTGAAAAACTATATTCCCAGTAATCTCTTTGATAATCCTTGAATACAGGGTTGTAGCAGATTGGCTTTAGGTCATTCCTTAAATTCTAGTGAGATTTAGGGTTTTGCTTCCCAATTTTATTGCACTGGTTTGTCCATCTGCAGTGTAATAGTTACTGGCAGTTCAGCACTTCAGCAAGGTAACATACCTCACTGAGCTGAGAAGATTCTGAAATGCTGACGTAGAAGACTATCAAAATGTCAACATGCTGCAGTTAAGAGCAGCTGTGATAAGAGTCAGATATAATGACTTATGTTCACCTTCAAGAATAAAATTGGCAGGTATATAATTTTGTCTTTAACTCTGGCAAAAGGTGCTTATGGAAAGCTTATTTAGCAGTCTGTTTTTTATAATAAAGTGTGAGATAGTTTTCCCTTTTTAAGTGCTCATGTTTTTTCATGTGGAAAAAGCTAGTATTCACACTGGATTAACAGGCATATCCGTATAAACTCATATCATGTTGAGAAGAACTCTAGGTTATGGTTAGTACTTCAGATATTAGCAGGAGTTCCAAGAAAAGCAAGAGAGATGATCACAGTCTGTAGTGTTAGGTAGAAGATGTAAAGATTAAAAGGCCTTGTTTAGCTTGGCAAAGGGAAAGAGGATACGTAGCCACATTTTGATAGATCATGTTCCCTAATAGTAATAAACTTACAACTTTAAGGATCAGTGGTCATTGGAGTGGATTACTTGGGCAACCTCTCTCCAGAGAGAATTGCTCAGGCAATTCTCAAGAATTAAGTAAAGCTCTTGTTGTCTGGGGGCTTGGGGACAGACTGTGTCATCCCCCAGTGTCCCTTCAGGCTAAGCTTTTGTTTGTTGTAGTGCAGTTGTCCCAGCCTGAATCACCCTGTTGTAACCATAGGCATAGTACTGCAGATTTTCTCTGCTGGTGCAGAATCAGACCAGCTAGTCCCAGCTATTTTTCACTCACATTTTCTCGAAATACTCACTTTTTTCACACACCAGTTTATAGCCTCTCCAGAGCATAGATTACATCACCTCCTTCATAGTCCACTTTAAACAAGAACTACACAACTCCAATGTAGTTAACGCCTCCTTGTACACCAGCCTCTCTTTAAAGTGGTGCTTGGGCACAGTGAATACTCTGTATGTTTGATATGGGTTATGGGCAGTTGTATCATTGTAAATGACCTAGCAATGTAATTGTATGAACAAACAAAGATAAAAAAAAACAAACAAAATCCAAACCCAAAGTTCCTATTCATGGGTGTAAGCACCAGTCATGTTGCTCTATAGCTTTACTTCAACTACTTTATCTTGCTTGTTTCTGCGAGGAATATTGAATTCTTTGTTCTAGCTTCTTGCCTAGTCCTTTATGCATTTTAGTGAGCTAGTTTAAGATTTAAATACATTAGCTTATCTGAGACTGCTTATTTTGCATCAGAAATATTAAGATCTACAGGCAGGTTTAATGTTGGTTTCTAAATTTGAAAGCTCCATGATTAGTGTTAGTGTTTTAACCTTGGAACTTGCTGTCTTCAGAATTCTGTTAGGGATATGAGATTCTGAAGCTTCAAAGCACAATGTGATGCCCTTCTTCTTCTGTAAGCTCTTACCTGCTTTTCTTCCCTTGTCTCCATTTTAGGGAGAGGTTTTCTGCCTTTTTTTTTTTTCTTTCCTTAATTTGGCTTACTTTCTTCTGTGCGGATAACATTGCTTCTGGTGTAGTGGCAACGCGTACCTTGAAACGCCATGTAAACAGATTAACGTCCCATCCTTGGCAGTGTTCAAGGCTAAATTGGAAGGGGCTTGGAACATCCTGGTCTAGTTGAAAGTGTCCCTGTCCATGGGAGGGGGTTGGAACTAGACAAGCTTTAAGGTCTTTTCCAACCCAAACTATTCCATGAATTTATGATTCTATGAAATATAACAACATTTATGCTAAAAAGCCAATGTCCCTGTTATGCAGTATTTGCCAAATGATTGTCTTGGTAAGTATCATAGAGGCCAAAAACTAATCTTGCACTTTAGCTGTTGCATACATGAAAGTTTATACGAAACCTCAAAAACAAAATCTACCCAGAGGAAGTTTTCTGTAGAATGGACAGATGAATGAGAGAGCGGAGAAGAATAATTCTCCTTGAGGATCTTTCTTTGGGGTAAGCAGAAAGGCAGTTTGTGCTGCAAGGTTAACAAAAAAGAACAAAGCCTGTCTACTTCTATGAAGAAATAGCATGCTTAGACACATTCTCTCACTACACCACTGTGCATTTCCTTCACTATGTAAAGTAACTTGAGTTTTCTTAACACTGCTTATGCTGCTGGAAGTGATGTTTTCCAGGCTTTAAGGTAGCACCATCAGCCTCAAGAAAACTTGTCACTTCATCCCTATCCTAACCCCAGTCCACGACAGACAAATCTTAAAGTTCAAGCTTGAGCTAGCTCGCCTGGCAGAAATAGGTTGTTTGACACTAAATCTCCAGACACAATAGAGGTGAGTTATCTGTGAATTACAATAGTTTATCAACAGCTTATCAACTGCTAATCCAGTTACTCTGCCTGGCTTCACTCTTGCATGGCTCTCAGTTCTCTCAGGCTCAAGGTGGGCAGTAATTCACATGCACTGCTATAGCTAACACATGGAGGAAAGACAAGCTCTAAAAATTCTAGAAGAGGATGACTAAATCACTAAATATCCCACGAGTAATTGAGATGCTGTGATCACTGGTGCAGGCAGGATGTAATCACATTTTATTGACAACTTCTAAAGATCACTCTTCCTTTGAAGCTGCCTAGAATGAAACTGAATAGAGCGTAGCTAGAGGTCTAACGCAACATACAGTGAGGAGACCTGATCTGGCACCAAATTAGCTGCTATGGGGTAAGGGACGTGTTATAAGGCATTTAGCATAGTGCTGTGCATTGGCCTGCATTCACTGCTGTGAATTTACATGAAGTCCTTAGAGAACCCTTTGTAGAGCGTGTGTTTCATCTCAGAGTATGTTATCATAGCATTATATATGCCTGAATGCAATACTGGAGAAACAGTGACAAGGATCTTAAAGACAGGCTGCTACTAGGTACCACCTAACAACCCCGAAAGCAATTCCACTTACCACAGTAAATGGGATCTCAAAAATACTTGGCTAAAATGGATATAAATTGTATAGATGTGCTGAAACATAAAGTGAGTTTTTAGATGGTGGTTTGTGTACTGGTATCACTAAACATTTTTTACTCTCTTTCTTGAAGGAGGTGAAGTCACGAAGCCAAGATTTGCTCAGTATTTCCATGGCAGCCTTGCCAGTCTCACTATCCGGCCAGGAAAAATTGAGAGTCAGAAAGTGATTTCCTGTTTGCAGGCCTGCAAGGAAGGTCTGGATATTAACTCTCTTGAGAGTCTTGGACAAGGAATAAAGGTGAGTGATGAACTGACATCATCTTAGATAAAAATGCAGGGCTGATTTATGAAGTGGAGAGCCCAAGGTAGAGTATACACAGTACAAATGTGCCCTCAGAAGCAATATAATTTCCCATAAAGTCATGCAAAGAAAAAAGCATAACAGTAGAAGAGCTGTGACACAGCAAAGAAAAATGTTTCCATTATTACAAAGCTAGATGCTTAGAAAGTAAGGCACTGCTGATATTTCAGAGTTTGCAAGAATTGCCGGGTTGTGTTCTCATGCTTATTTTGGTAGTTATTCAGAAATAAACATAATTCCAAAGAATTCCTGATTTTTTTTATCTTAATTAGCTTTAAAGCAATGGAAAACGTAAGTGGAATATCTTTCATCGAGAGGCAACTCTGAAAGAAGTCCCAGTGCAATAGTATTGAGAAACACAAAGTGCGTTCCAAGAATTCTATCTTCATTATGCACATAACTATTGATATTGTAGCACTTTTTCTAAGATTGGAGAACAACAGGCAGAAGGAAATCCTCTTTCAGTTGTCATAGTGGCCAGATTGCTTTGCATTCATTAAGATAAATTTGGTTCTTTTGGATACATGTGTAGGATCTTGACTGTAACTTCTGCAGTGCTTACCTCAGATGTACTGATGGTTCCCCTTTACTGATATCCATTATTAGATGACAGGCGTCCTGCTGCCTGAAGCTTTAAGCTCTTTCCGAGCACACAAATGGTAATACCACCTTCCAAAGGAACTGAGCTTCAAATTCAAACTGGGAAGATGCTCCGACTGCAGACTTTGCATCCCATGAAAGGGATGGTGGAAAGGAGGGTGCTTGATCTAGAGCACGCAGTGGAAGTGCCAGGTTATTATATTTTATTAGCTAAACCTTTCAATTGTACAAGACAGGAGTCTGACCTGAAATACACTCAGTGGCTGTCTGGGTGATAAGTTGCAGTGGTGTACTATAACCAGTCTGTTTTCTGAAAACAAGGGTAAAAACGAAAACTGAATGTGCAAAGTTAAGGAGGAGCAAAATGCCACAAAGAATTTTTCTTTCACTTCATCCTACCAAGGACGTAATTACAGATTTCACATGGTTGCCTCCCCCAGCAAAATGGCACATTTACTTATGCGTAAAAGCTCTTTATATGCCAGGGAATACAAAGAGCAGGTAGACTTTTCTGGAATGCAAGTGTATATGCCCACCAGTAAGTCGTTTGGTGGGATTTTACATACACCCACAGCTCCAGCATGGCTGATTGGCTTCCTTCCTGCACTAGTGGAACAATGGGGAAAACGAAGGTGCTGAATTGTTTTGTGCCTTTCACCTAACTTCAAATGATTCTCATTTTCCGAATTCCAGAAAAGTAAAAAAAAAGTAAAAAAGTAATTTAAGTTACTGTTTTCATTTTTACTTTCTTAGCAAGCTCAACAGTCAGTGCAACAGCAGGAAGCAGAAATGAAAGGAGCAGCCAGAGACAGATTGTGTGGGTTTCTTATTGGGGCTAATTGGCTTAGATGAAAGCAGAACTGTTGGCACCTGACCTTAAACAGAGGATTAATAGAGAAGGGATTTCTGGTGTCAAAAATAACATAGCTGATCTCAGACAAGCACATGTGACAGTTGCACAGGTGGTGGTTTGCATGGCTGTGTACATGGTGTTTTGCAGATTCAGTGTTGGCAAACCGATGTTAATAGGTGTTTGTGCTGGGCATTTTGGACTCATGAAGCTTCACCCTCAAGCACCTAAGAAAGAGCAATGCAGCTGTAATACAGTTTCTGGCACAGTAGTGTTGGAATTTTTTTCGTTTGTAACCTGATTTTCAGATTTCTATAACAGCTCTCAGAAACACAAGTCTAAACTGTTGCTATTTTTAGCCTTTTTTAATGAGAAAGACAAAAATGGCTCAGACTGGGGCTTTCTCAGGTCTCTTTGGCAGCATCCCAGCTGTTGTGGCAGCTGAGCTATTAAGTTAACTAGCTAGCTAGAGTCTCGTTTCACTGATTTTATTCTCGACTACTTCTAGCTTACAGAAAGGAAAGGTATGCAGACCACGACTCATGTTAGTCCTCCTCTTTGTTAAAAAATATCCTTCTGTGTGTTACGACCTTCCTGCACAAGCTTTAAATCTAGCCCTCTGTGTTATGTTTGACAGAGACCCTCTGCTTCATTCTGTTCTTCACCATCTTTTTGCTTTTTAACCTTTCTCATTGTAAGAGGCGTAGACAGCCATTACCTGTATATAATAGAACATGTTCAGCTAATCAGTATCCAGCTTTAGAAAGAGGGACTGCATATGAGAGAAAGGTGCATTTCTTTTTGTGTTTTGTGGTGATGAAAGTGGGGTACAAAATCAAGCAGTTTATCCGGTTTTCTCTGCAATGCAGATGGTTTCCTGAACCAATTAACAGACCAAAACTGGAATTAAGATTAATTAGGATGAAGATAAAATCAATCTTTTGCTCTGTTAATCTAGTAGCAAAGGTTCTTGTCAGTAGCACCTCCATTTTAAATGATGTCACCTTTCTTGATCATGAGACAGAGAAAGGAGAATCCCCTTTATTTTGTCTGACTAATGAAGATGTAGGAGGCAAATGTTACTATTGTTTTGTTAGTTCATGATGAAATATATCTCTGAACGATAGCCCAGGGTAAAAAAAAAACACACGGAAAGCAGGAAGAGTATCCTTATGCATTCTGCTCTGGTTTAAGCCAGTATTTTTTTATGTGAGATATGTTTAATCTAAAAACATTAACATAGTAATAATAATAATGACAGTTAAGATTTCGAGCTCCACATCTGCAGAAATAGTATCTTTGATAAGGCTGAGCGAAGCACAGCAAACTGGGATTAGTTTACTATAAAATTAATTATAACAGAAGTTATTCAGATATGAAATAGATGACTGATACAAGTGCATGTTTTAGGGAACAACATGGATTCAGCCAACAAAAGCTACTAATAATTTCTTCATCTTAAATCATTAGATTTCATGTGCATCATTCCTTAAAAATATCTTTTTTTATACTATGTATGTGGTTCCTTATACTAATAATGTGCATTTCCCCTAGTATCACTTCAACCCTTCCCAGTCAGTCCTTGTCGTGGAAGGAGATGACATTGAGAATATAAATCAAGCTCTCCGAAAGGTCTCATACATCAACTCTAGACAGTTTCCTACTGCAGGCGTACGACGTCTCAAAGTCTCATCCAAAGTCCAGTAAGTTATCTTCATCTGAACTGATAAGATTGGGAATATTTTTAATGAATTACTTTTTGGGGGGAGGCCATGTGATCAAAAGAAGAATTATTGCTAATTTACATGGCTGAATCATACTTCTGTGTTACTGGGCATAAAGGATTAATCTGATTTACTTTCATGCTGATTTACATTGTGGTTTTCTTTTTATGTTGTCCTTTTAAGACTTTTCTATGTCATGTTCTTGCATTCTGTTTACAGTTTGGAGCATGCAGTCTAGACTGAACAGTGCTTGCATTTATCGCATTCTTATTTCAGATGTTTTGGTGAAGATGTCTGCATTAGTATCCCAGATATAGATGCCTATGTAATGGTGTTTCAGGCCAATGAGCCCAAGATTACAATAAGTGGGACGGACCACTTTGCTAGACCAGCTGCACAATTTGAAAGTCAAAGAGGTGTTACTTTGTTACCTGACATCAGAATTGTCAGCACAGTCACTAAAATGGAGCATCCAGTGGATGAACATGACAGAGGTTTGTAGATTTCTTTTAAATATTTATTTGTTTGTTGTTAGGTTTGGAAAGATCATCTAGTTCCAAACTATTATGTTTTTTTAAAGGATAGTGCAGACAATTAAGCCATTTCACCCAGATTCATTTAGGCAATGATAGGCCACGGTAATGCCGGACTGAAGACATTCAATTAAACACACTGTTAAATAGTGTAAATTTAACAGAGTATTAAATAGGGATGGATCAGTATGTGCTTCCAAAAACCCCGCTTTTCCATTTAGTGTCCTGCCTACTTCCAAATAATTCCTTTTCACTCTTCTTCACATGTTCCTTTGACTAACACCTTTTCATTAGAATTCATTTGTTACAGAATTTTGTTAACTGTACTGATAAAGTAGAAAGCAGTAGTTGACAAATAGTTGCAAGTTTAGTCTGTTCTTATGTTCCCAGCTCTGCTATTGACAGGTTGGTGAAAATAGAGAAATCTTGTGCCTCAGTTTACCACATATTTAATGCAGTAATATTATTACATAATAATCTGCAAAGAATTTTTTTCAATGATGACGGTTTATTCTAATGCTGAGAGCTGTGTATGTTATTGTTCAACACTAGGTAAATGTTCAAAAGTAAGCTGTAAAATCACAGATCACAGAATGGTCTATAATTGTCTCTAATTGGATGTTTGTCTGCAAAGTAAATTAAAAGCTTAGTCATCTGAGGAATCACCCTAAACAGTATTTCCTGGACTAGAATAAGCAGCAACTAGGTGTATATATTTTGAAAAGATAAATCCCCTAATGATACGCAAGTGTAGGGGCATGAATTCTATGGAGCTGTGCTCTGTAATAGCGCTGCACATCACTTCCGTGAAACTGCATCTGTCCTCTGAAGGCTGAAAGCACATCGTATCCTAATACCAACTGTGTACAATTGCAGTATATAAAGAAAATTGAATTCTTGCCTAGAAAAGAGTGACCATTATCAATCGCTTAAGACACAATGGATCTATGATGCTCTGTGTCCCTAAATGTTATGACATCTTCAAAACTGTTCAGTGAATTAGGAACTACTGCCCTCCAGTTCAGTTCATAAATTCCATCTTCCCCAATTTTTTCCTATACAATTATTGATGTAATTACTGTTTATAACATAAAAAGCCTTAGTCTCACCTTGGAAGGGAACGTAACAGCCTTTCTTAAACTACTGCTTAATTCTCGAAAGTCAGGCACCTACAAATGTGCCATCTCTTGTTTATTTCCACTGGGAGTTAAAATGGATAAATAATAATTGGTTAAAATGGATAGATAATAATTGGCTTTGGGGATAAGTGTTTTGCAAAAGATTATTAAATTCTAAGTCTCAATTCCTGCATAAAAAGCTTCAATCATTATTTCTCTCATCCCAGATATTATCTGACAAATTTGAGTCTGTGTTTTGTTGTAGTTAGAGCTGTACCTGGAGTTCTGATACCCAAAATTCACTGTACCAGGAGTTTGGAATTTAAGGCATAAGTCTTTTATGTCCATGCCTGCGTTCCCCCATACACCCTCTAAAATGAAATCCACAGAACAAGCACTAAATTCCAAGACTGCAGTCTCTGTGTCTACAGTACCCTCAGGGAGCTGGTAAAGCAGTCTTGCCCGACCCTCTGTGCTGAGCCAATTGGAGAATTTAAATAGTAAATTGATATGCTACTCTTTTTCCAGCAAGTTTTTTCCTAATCATACCTACTGAGTATAGTCAGTTTACAACTCATATTTAAGATAATACCACGTTCTTGGATAGATGGCCATGTTCTTTGTAATGCAAAGCCTTTATGGGCCATAGAGTAACTGAGAAAATCATCCACGCAGAGATATATTTAACATTCATTTTTCCAGTTTGGTTTCCCTTGAGAATGTGTGATACCAATCTGCTATCAGAACAGTACTGAAAATCAGACCTGTTTACATGGATTTATTTGCAGCATCAAATTTCAAGTTTCTACTTCCAGGACTGTTCTTGAATGACTTTTATTACAGAGCAATATGTTTTCTGAATCCATCCTCACTAGGCATTTGTAGGCCTTCATCACTGTAGCACCTGAACAGGCAAGACACCTCTTTTGATTTGCTTCAAGTGTGCTGCTGTATTTAATGTTGGCAAAAAACAATTCAACCATCTTTAAAAAAATGATGCAAAGCCCTGATGCAAAGCACATAAAATAACTGAGCTGTTCTGTGATCATTTATCTTAGTTTATTTCTTCTTTTTCATGTTATATGCCATTTGCTCACAGCCAATAAGCCAGTGGTATTAGAGGAGATGCTGCACAACTTGGATTTCTGTGATGTTCTGGTGATTGGCATAGAACTAGATCCTGAACAAGAGTGCTTAGAACTAGATCATGTGGCGCTCCAAGGAAAACATCTAGATGCCACGAATTCCACAGCAGGATATTCAGTCTATGGTATGTTAATGGACTTTGCTTTCCCTTACTTCTTCCCTACAGTATTGAAATAGAAAGAACTAATGTGGAAGAAATTAGACAAAAATCTGTGATGTACTAGCCATAAAATCTTCCACGAGAGACCATGTCTAAAAAAACATAGTTACTTTTTCGTCTCTGCGTGTGCTATTTATCCTTTGGAATGTACCATAGCTTTGTCTTGATCTTGGCATCCTCCCTGCTACTTCCCAGATAAGGAAAATAGCAACACTGCTTTCTCTAAATGTGGGGGTTCTTAGAGACAACCAGAGATGAGCTGGGAATGAGGGTATTCCTCACACAGTGCTGGTAACTCATTGGCCATTTTTTGCAATTACTAAACCATTTATTCTAAATCTTTGCTGTTGTATTTATTGATCTCCATTACAGATCTACAGTAGTTTCCTGAAACTATGTTCACATAATTTGGTATGAGCCAGAGGCTCCATCAGGGAGTATCTGAGACACTACCATCTTCAGATCATTCTGCCATATTTTGTACTTTCTGGGAACATATTATTTCTCCTGTACTGCACATAGCATCTCCATGAGATGATTACTGCTTCATCTCCATTTCAGGTGTGGACAGTATGAACAACTATGAACAGGTTCTTCGGCAGGTTCGCTATCGTAACTGGGACACTTCTGCCACCTTTGATAGAAAGTTCAGAGTTAAGTGCTCAGAGCTGAATGGACGTTACACTAGCAATGAATTTAACTTGGAGGTAATTATCAATATGTACAATTGAATATTTATATACGTTTAAATGGTTATATTTTTACATTTAATTATGTTTTTATAAATACGCTTAAATGTAAAAATATAAATAAATACAATTAAATATATATGTTAAATACACATTTATATGTTTTTATAAATACATGTCTATATAAATACACTTATACATTTATATGTAAGTATATATATGTTTAAATAGATAATATTAGATATAAGTATGTTCTATATACACACACTTATATAATTATACATGATTTTATATATACATTAAACATATATACTTACATAAACACACAGAAACATATTTATAGAAAATAAGTTTATATAAATATATACATTTACATACATATATATACAATTATATATAAATTTACATATACAAATATGTATTTATATAAATATGTTATATGAAATAGAAATGTTTATGTAATATGTATTTGATATATATGCTATATATAGAAATACATATAGATTTGTAAGATTAATACATACATAAAATGTGTTATACATACTATATATTACATATATGGGTATAGATGTAATATGTTATATATGTAATATGTAATTTATACATGAAAAATATATATAAAAATATATATTACATTGAACTATGGGGTTCATCAGCAGATACGAACATAATTACATATTTTTATATATATATGCTATATATTACATATATAAATATATTTTACATGCATTAAAATATTACATAATTAAAATATATATATATATATATATTTTTTTTTTTTTTTCCAGCAGGCTTGGAATATCGAGTGCTTGTTAGTATCTTATCTGTTACGTTTCTCTTGCGCCAGGTTAATATTCTACACAGCTCCAACTCCAATTTCATGGACCATGTAAACAATATGATAGTACAACCGCAGTTTCTCCAGTCTGTCCACCACCCAGAGGGAAGCACAAGTGCTGTTCACAACTCAGGTATGTGATGAGTTTAGAGACTGCTTATAGTGATTCTGATATGTCAGTGTTACCCACAAATAAAGCCGTGAAGTCCATAATTACAGCTTGTGAAACCTCAGAGAGATATTTGTACAGGTATGAAACACCTACCATTAAATTCTGTTATTTCCAAGGAGGTACTTTGTCTTTAAAAATCGGTCTTCATTAAATGCTATGTACCCTAATCCACATTGTTAGAAAACGTCTCATTTCTAGTAGCGAATTATCTAAAGGATAATATTTATTTTCATATTCTCTTTGTACATCTCTACTTCTATGGCCTAGTAATTTCTACCCACCTCTTTCCAAGAAAAAGTAATAAATGTTTGTATTATTTTTTTAAATCTATAACCGCTGCAGTGCTTCTGTTAGCTACTGTCAGGCTCTATCTGTTGCTCTCTGGAGAGGAGATAGGTGAAGCAGGCATTAGTATACACTAAATAGAGAAATTAAAATGAATATTTAAACTCTTAAGAGTTACAATATATACCTAAATCTAAAGCCTTTTCAGTGAAGTTAAACCCAGGGCAAAGATATCTGTTTAAATGCTGGATTTTGAAATCCTTTTAGCTGAATAATACATATATAAAGAAGTAAAGTTTATGTAAAGTGTAGGTAGTTAGAAGTAGTTATATGAAGTTAGGCTTAGAAAATTACTGTATTTTTCTGTACACTTCTACAGAGATTTTCCTAAAATTAAGCTGAATTTTTGCAAAACAAACTATTACAAAGTGATTCTTTATAGAACTATAGCTCCTGCTACTGCAGTACCTGGGTGGCAGAGGTTACATAGAAAGTGGCAGCACTCCCTCACTAACCTTATTTTTGAGCTGATAATATTATAATAGGTCAGTGAAGTTTCTTCCTGTGATTAGGTGGAGACAGAGACTTCTCAGAGTGTGACAGAACAATGAGGAAAAACGTCTTGAATCCCTCACAAGTCTCCCAGGACGCTATTTCCCACAAGCAAATAGAGTGGCAGTGTGTTACTTTATTCCTTGGGCATTGAGATTTAAATCACAGTAGAAGTGTTTGAAACCTTTGAAAATACAAGCTTTGAGATACACTTTTTCTCACAAGTGAGGTTAACACCTCAGCTTTAATCAGAAGGGGGCAACATGCAGGTGAGATAACTAAACCTTACTGCAAAAACCACTTGTTCTGGAACTGATTCTGCACGGATTGACTACTTGTCTTCTGTAATGAAGTGGCTTGAAAAAACAAATGATAGGCATACTCACTTTTAGTCACAATTTATAGTCTGTAAACACCATTCATGTATGCTCTGCCGTAGTTAAGTGTCACTTCTCCGCACTTTCTGTAGTCCCAGGCACATAGGAGATGGCTATGCTGATTCTCAATCCAAAGGAAAAGGTACTGAAGGGAGAAAATAGACAATGTATTTAGTGCTTTGTAGGCAATTCTTCCACAAATATAAGCACATTCCGTTTTCCACCTTTTGTTCCAGTTGTTCCAAGTGTGGCTACTATCGTTATTATAATCTGTGTGAGCGTACTCATTTTCATCATAACCTTGGGGGTCTATCGAATTCGGACAGCTCATCAGCACAGCTCTGCAGACAATGAAGGAAGTAAAGAAAACGAAATGGATTGGGATGATTCTGCTCTGACTATTACTGTCAACCCCATGGAGGTACATAACCAAGGCATAATACGATATCATGATACTACCATGGTAACATATAACTGATAAAGTAATACATGTTGTCATATATAATTACTGAATAGGATGATGAAGAATCCTCGTGTACAACACCACTTTGTCTCCATCCATACTTGCATCCTAGGTACCCAAGATGATATTACTTAGTTTTTAACTTTTTAATGTAAGCACTAATCACTAGAAGAGGGAAAACGATCAGTAGTTTAAAAAAACATTTTGGCAGCTTGACTAACAAAGATACTGCTTATTGACATTCCATTCTTGTTAGAGTAGTTTTTGAGTATTTGCTACTGAATTCTATTATATTTGATGCCTAATAGTCACGTAATGATGGAAAGCAGATGTTCCCAGCACATTAGTGTTTCTAAACATGGAATAAATGCTCACATTCTCACAGCCACTGGCTAGGAAGAAGGCAATTTTCTTCTACTGTGTTTATTTCATTTCTCCAACTGTACTGTAGAAACATGAAAAGCCTCATCAGACAGAAGAGGAAAGTGATGAAGAAGATATAGAAGATGAAGAGGAAGACACAACCAGTGCTGAATCTGATGAAAGTGAAGACGAGGAGGAAGATGAGGAGGAGGAAGAGGAAGCGATTGTCCAGAAGAGAGATAAACAGAAGGTCACCAGGCAAGAGCAGCTGGAGTGGGATGATTCAACACTCCCGTACTAACAGCCCTACAGCCACGTTGCTCTTTTGTAACACCCAATACAATGTTTTTTCTGAGTCTGTTAATTGACAGGATTTGAACTTCTGCTTGCCTATAACTGTTTTGCCTAAAATGATCTTGTAGTAATTCGTAATGGTAGAACTGACCCTATTGTTACAAAGCCTGGAGAAAACATGGTACAAACATACTGGCATCACCAGTAATAATCTAGAACTTGATCTGTTTAGCAAGCGTAGTTCTCAAGTTCCTGTTTCTATACTGCAGATATGTGACAAAAGTCCTGTCACTCAATTCATAGAGGTTTTTATCTTTCCTATTTTTTTTTTCCATACAGGAGAGATTTCAGCTTGTTATGAAGAATTACGTGTGTGGGTCCAAATAACAGTTGCCACATGACTTCACACTCTGTAAAATACAGTCCACCTTCAAATGGGGGAGAGTTTTAGTGCTACAGGTGACAGAGACTGAATTCCATTTGTCATCTCATCCTGCTTTCTTGGATGTTAGCTGTCTTCTACAAAGGAATATCTAGGACTTGACAAGGGATGCACGTGCACCTGTGTAGAAGTGGACAATCTTTTCAGGCATGCTGTCAGAACCCTCAGGACAGGGATTTTATCCAACCTACCCATATTACAGAGAGTTAAAAAAAAAACAAAACAAAAAAACAGAATCCAGCAACAAGAAGGGGCTGCTGAAGGTTACTGACAAAAATCATTCTGTGTCCACAGACTGAGTAATGTGAGCTTATGCAAACTGTAAATTCTAATGGTATTGATTTACTGGAAAACCTGTAGAGGGGCTCATTAGTTACAGATTGAGGAATTGGCAGCAAATCAATGCTTTCAACTTTCTGTCTTGTAAAAAGTCGTTTGCTTGCTGCAGCATCTTACTGAAGTAGTGGAAAATCAGTGACCCCATTATTCCATAGCTATGTATGGTTGGGATTTTAACAATGATTTTACATGAGGGAAATATTCCCTTTTGATTTAATGAATGCCAGCCGGAATTCACGTCTGACTGTATTCTGTAACACATTATGTCCTGTTTCTTCTCTACCCTTGCCCACTTACAAGTGGCACAAGAGACAGCGTCGGCATACATGGCATACACAACTGTCAGCTCTCTTTTGCACTCATAATTCTCCCTTATTTCTTCTTCCTGAAGCCATTAATGTTGAGAAACAGTTTTGTAAAGTAGAACAAGAACAAATAAAACCTACCTGGAACCAAAAGAAAGAAGTGAAAACAAAACCTAAAATCTTAAGAGGTTGAGAGAGTATTTTAGTTTGTTATGGTAACACAGCATATTTTTCTTAAACACTGTTTAAAAAGGAATAAAAAAAAAAAGAAAAAAATAGAAGCAAAGCTAGTACAATGTGTTTGTAAGTCTGTGTGGTGTGGGTTTTGTCCCCTTTCCTTAATTATCTTTGTATCTTCAGATGCTCTGCATATCAAATGATACAGCTAGGATAACTTCTCCAGTGCATAAAAAACAAATGGCATTGAAGTGAATGCTGTCTGGTGGGTTGTCTGTTTTTATTTTTAAGTACTTCCTTTTCTTTCTAAGTTCACTGATTTTTGCCTTTACTTTTGTAACTTGCTGTTTAAAAGTAGCTGCTTCCCCTATCCTAGAGAAAGCAGCAGTCAGGCCTGCCACAACAGGACCTTCCCAAGCACTTGTAAGTCATAGTTAACATAGCAGAGAGTAACTTGAACAATCTTAAGGGTATTCCCCTCCCTCAGTACTGAACTATTAGCAACTCCTGCACATCTTGGAATACAGACAATACATTGTAGGTTTAGGGTGCTTCTAATTCCAGCTTCTGCATCTGACAGTTGCAGGAAAGGATTGGCAGCAACTAGATCATGAGTTCAGTAAGTAGAAAGTAAATTAAAAGAATCCTAAATTACTTTTTAAATGAGACTTCTCCCTCTTCTTGTTGTGCCAACATGATTTTAAATGCTGGCACTATAGAAGTGTTCTTATGTGAGCAGTCCTGTTTTATTTTTATTCTGATCTCTCACATATATTACACATACAAGAACATTTGCAGAATCAGTCCCACATAAACACAATTTATCTGCAGGAGTAAAACTTGTAAAATTGGCCAACATTTCTGTTTAATACAAAAATAATTTTAAAGTGCTAAATAACTTGAAGTTTTATGCTAGATCATTTTCTGCCATCTTAGTATCTTTAATAACTTCCTAGCGTTGATTTTCGTTAGGGGCATGAAGCAGGATCTTCATGATGCTTGTTAACAGCACATATCAGCAAGGCTTTCTGCTCAGAAAAAAAGATTTAAAACTAGTTATTTAAAAGTCAGTTTCGGATTTAAAAAATGTACTTAGATTTTTTTTTTACTGATGATTATTATTACTGTCATCACAGCAAATATTAGGGCAACTTGAAAACAGCAATTTACAACCATACTGACAGCCTTTCATTCTTTCATATGTTCATGTCCCCATCAGTGTGTTTCTTCATCTAACAGATTTTTATCCTTTTGTTACTGGAAGCAACAGATTTATTCAGGTCTTGCTGGTACATTACACAAGAAGCAAACAAACTATTTTCTCTACTGTGAATAAACCTGCATTTTTAAACCTAAGCAAAGTAATAGAGGCATGTGTGTTATCACCAAAATTTGGATTGCAACAAGATACTGAGCAAACAAAAATGTATCACTGTGCTTATTTTAGATTACTCACTGGAGTGCATAATGCAGCATTTTTCATTCAAATAAACAGAAATACCCTTTTCACAAAATGTTAGTGAGAATGAGATAATTCTTCACAAAATGAACCTTAGAATTTAAATATTTTGTATAGCAGTTGACAGCAACGGCTTCATGAAAAAAAGCCTATGAGTAGAATAACACAGAAATACTGTTTTCTCCCCTCCATGAATTACTGGTTTTGATGTAAGCTACTTTCAAGAGAAACTAGAAGACATAAATATATACATGAATACATAGACACACACATCTTTTCTTTTTTCTTCCCTAATCAAAAACCACAAATCTCTCCTTTCCTCTCTGAAAAAGAAGTGTTTAAAAACATAAAACCATTTAGGTTGGAAAAGACATTAAAATTCCTCAAACCTAACTGTTAACACCAAGCACTGCCATGCCCACCACTAAACCATTTCCTGTGACCACACCAACACCTCTTAAATACCTCCAGGAACAGTGACTCCACCACTTCCCTGGGTGTGGAGAGGTGCCCATAATACTTGGTATGAGCAATCTGTGACACTTGAGGTCTAAAATTACATCAATCAGTGAATCTTTTTTAATTGTTACAATTCTAATCCAAGGCTGGAAAAAGCTGCAAAACCTACAAAAAAAAAAAAATAAAAAAATCAAGCTGTGTTATCTGAATTAATATAACTGCCAAAGTTGCTTTTTGTACTCAATTGCTTGTTTCTGTTTCAGTTTTGTCCCCCTCACAGGTATTTCATATTTGCAAGCGTACCTTAAAATGCATAGTTGTTATCAATCTCAATATTTACTGCATTGGCTAACACCAGTTCAAATTACTAACAGACATGTAGGGTTTCATGACATCTTTAATACTAATTAAAAATAAAATGTTATTTGCAGATAAATTTAATACTTTAATACTAGTTAATACAAATTATAATTATTACTACTATTTAAAATACCTTTAATACTATTTAAAATGTTATTTGCAGCCATAAAAGTGACAGACTCAAAGATCCCAGTGTAGCCTAAAAACACCACCACTCCCATAAATATATCCAAACTATGCAACACTTTGTAATATAGCATAAACACCTTCTACAGCATCCGGAGATCCTGGACAATTGATGTACCCTTATGTCAGATGTTGTTGTTGGGTTTTGGTTGGTTGGGTTTTGTTTTCAACAGAAAAAAAACATAACAGGCAGTGTGGGAAGCATTGTAAATTGAAACGTATCAGGTCCCTTAATGCTGCATGTTTCAGACAGCCAGTGAAGGAGATGACAGTCCCAGATGAATCAACAAAAAGTGTATCAATGATCAGAGTGTTTGTTTTAGCACTAAGGTGTTTTGTTGTTTGGAGCCTGGGCTGTGTGGTTTTTTTGTTCAGCTCTCCTGGAATCCAGGTGGTTTAATTCGGTGGAGAATAAAGACACTTTTCAAAGATGAGCACGAAAATTACAGCACAGTAAAGCACATACCCTGTTAACACACCCAATCTCAAGAAGCATTTCTGTTAAATCTATTAAGCAAGTTACTCCAGTGGTGTCTCTCGAGGTAATTATATTTCATTACTTTTGTACAGGTAACAAGGAACAAGGCTGGTACGGGGGTTTCTGGGGGGTTGTTTTCCTTGTTGGGTTTTTCTTTCTTTTCCCCCTAAAGAAGACATGATCGTAAAATAAAAACTCACAATGCTTGCACAGAGCAAAACTGAAAGGGGAGCAAGGACATTCATTTCACAAACCTCTGTCTAACAAAGGGATTTAAGATACCAATTCTAACCCACATTATTGAAGCCTAATACACAGGAAATTAACCCAGGATATTTTGTATAGTCATACTGTTGGTGATTAAAAGGTAGTTACCAGATCAGGTAGATCTGGTAATTCCCTTGAGGAATTTTGCTGCTTTTTGAGTAGATACTGTCAGTGGCTTGCTAGCTCCAATTCCCATTTCTCTGCTTGTAAATAGGAATAATGACACCAACATAAAAGTGCTATGAGACCTGTAGATGAAAGGCACTGTCAAAGAGCTTGGTGGGGTTCTGATTCAGTAATTCTGTTGTACTTACAGCCCTCCATTGTGGAGCACCCTATACACACCCAAAATGAATGACACAATGGTCACTGTCAAGAACTCTGGGTTCTTCTTTCATTAGTTACAGCATATGAAGAAACACTATAGTTGGAAACATTACAAACATTTAAAGCAACAGTCAGAAAAAGCCCTCCTTCCTATTTTCAACTCTAAATCATAGGAAATTTGTACATTCATCAGCTGTTCAGGATATAGGGCCATGTACTGCCCATATTTATGCCAATGCTGAGAAAAAAAAAAAAAAAGGCTGAAGAGTTATTTTTCCCAGCTAAATATACTGTACAATGAGAGTGCAGCTTCCAGTAGGAGGTGCATAAAGCCTGCCCAAAGCAAAGAGAAGCTGTCTTCAAATGGGAGACAAAGGTGTTGCAATCATACTCTATTCTCAAACTTCAGAAACATGGAAAATTTCACGGGAGTAAAAGGCCTTTTTGCTGCCCTACCTGTTCTTTTTGTATAAATCTAGACAGTTAGGGGTGTTCAGACATTACCTTCCTACCTAGACTACAGTGACGTTTCAAACCAGTACAGAAACTGGCAACACATTCTTGTCTACAATCTGCTTAGTGTGCACATACCATAGATGAGAAGGTGAATGGTTGTTTTAACTAGGAATGCTCTTTGGCATGTGGAATGGTTTGACAGTTCTTTCAGAATATTGAACTATTATTTAGGGAAGAGTGAAAAGGGAGGTAGAATAGAAGAAGGCCTGAACAGAAAACAAAAAGAGTTAAGGTTTCCAGCTGATGTAGAAAAAAAAACCTGGAATTTTATCTTCTAGAAACAAGAGACATTAAAAGATTGAGTGTCAAACAGTAAGAAAATGGCAATATGCTATCTTCATGTCCAGAACTGACAGCTATCTGAATCAGTGAGGAAAAAAAAACAAATACAGGATGTTAAAGGATTCTGAGATGACCATGTAGCTCCTTGTTAGCTCCTCCACAAACTGATCCAAGAAATGTGAGTTACCTTTCAAAAGATGGGGGGTTTACATTCTGCTGTAAATACTGCACCAACAGAAGCTTGAGTAAATATTTAAATGTGGTTAACAGGCGGCAGTTAGTTCTGTTCAAAGAATCATCACAACAGGGACAGAATTTTTGCTTTGCATAGTAATACACACTACAGTTAGGATTCCTAGTATCCGCTTCATCTAAGTTTCAGTGTATTTAGTAGTTGCTGCTTGACTCATTAAATCCTAGAAATAAAGATTATAAGACGCAAATAAAAAGTAGTACAGGTAAAATATTATGCTAACAGTGCCGAATTAACTGTTCCCTAGAATATATTTCCTAGTGTTAGGGGTGGGGGTGTTTCAACCTACTTAGATTAAGCTTCTGCTTCTTCCCCTGGGAGATAATTGTGCCGTCTACTTAAAAGATTTTCCTGCAAATGAATTTAAATAAGCCTTTTTGTAATTTTTATCTCATTATCCCAGTTATATCTTTTGCACCACCCTAAATAATTTCTCTAACCATGATTTATATCCTTCAAATATTTGCAGATAGTTAACCTAGTTAGTAATTTATTAGAGCATTTATGAATCTCTTCTCCTTACA